CCGCCGACGCTAACCCTACCTCCCGCTGTTATCTTCGAGTCTGACGATGTATCTGAATCTGGCTCAGTCTTAACCAGCCAACGATTTCCCCATACCCGTGCCCAGTTATTAGCCATAATCCGTCAGCAGAAGTGGGGTGCAGACGGCTTTGATGGAGATGGAGACGTAGATGAATCAACCCGCATCAGCACCTCTTTTGTGACGAAAGTAGCAGGGTTCCTTGCTAATGAGCAAGAGGATGAACTTAAAGAATCATTGAAGACTACTTGTGGGGTAGAAGACGACATGGTCAGCTCGCGAGATGCCTGCTCTTGCCCCTTTTTGCTGATCTTCTGTATTATAGCTCGAACAACATGTCTTAGATTTGATGCATAGACACCACGACGATGTAGCAGGCGTGCCTTTCCTTTTCTTGACTCCAACACGACGGCCGTCTCGACCCTCTTCTCGCGCTTCTACCCATTCTGCTGCTCGGTTCATCCCAAATAGGCCAGATACCCCCACTTCAGTGCCTAACTCTCCTCTTGCTATCGGGTTTCGTAGGCCACATACACCTGCTGGTTCCCCTCTTGTCACTGGAAGCGCAAACTCATGCATGACTGCACGTAGCGTTTCACCAATGAACTCACCAACACTCGTGCATGCACAAGCGCAATCACATCCTCAGTTCACTTCGAGCCTTCCATCATCACCAATATCCTCTCCTCGACTTTTGAGCGCAAAAGCAACCGAATTCAAGCCCATTCCCCGGCCCCTATCCGCAGCTGCAGCTTCGTCCGCCCCCGGAACCCTTTCTGGATATAGAACCGAGACACCGTCTCCTGACCTGTGGTCTCATAGCCAGCTCAGAGCAACTTCTAACCTTGCCATCGCCGCGCCGTTGATGCCGGGCGATTCTTTGCAGCCCAGAGCTGTAACCCCAAGCTCCCTCCGCTCGTCTCTTAGGCCAGGGGAGGAAGACGAAGAAGATGACCCATTCGATCCCTTTGCGCCCAAGACAGCGTCCAACTCCTTCCATCCAATTACAATCACCGACTTTGACCAGTGGATGGATAGTGCCCCAATCTCACCCGATGATCCACTTGCTCAAAGTTACTACCAACATAGCTATGACTATGACCCGCAGTTCGATGGATCAGTCGACGACGCGGAGGGAACAGGGTACTTGACAGATGGGATGACGCCTCTTGATGTGCTTAGCTCAGTGTTCGGATCCACCCTTGCGCCATCCGAGCTTGAAGATGCACTTTCTCAGAATGGCTATGATTTCGACCGTGCTATGGCATGGCTTGTTGATCGTGCTTTGCCTTCTCCACCTCAGCACAGCCAACCTCGTATGCAGTCCATGGGAGGACGAGTGACATTAGTGGCTAGGGATTGCAGCGCCGGGGTAGTGCATGGGGGACGCGGGGGCTTTCAGCCCGCCCGAGGATCTACCAGAGGCAATGGACGGCCCGTCCCCGGCGGAAATAGGGTTTGCCGCTATTACCTTGCGGGCGAATGCTTGCGAGCCGATTGCCGCTTCAGGTTTGTTGGCTTCCTGTTCTTTTGGATTATGTCCACCTCATCTTCATTCCCAGCCATGATCTAGAGAGAGCGCTCTGCCGGTTCTGGTTGCGTGGGACCTGCGCCAAACAGGACCAGTGTGAATTTTTACATCACCTTCCTAAAGACGTTGATGTGGCCAGTGTGACTGGTGCACTGTCACGGACTGGTCTCAGCAACTCTAGTACCCGCACTACAAGCCCTCCACCCGATGAGTTCCCCGCTCTCGGATTTGATGCTTCTCGTAATCGGAGAGGTTACGGCGCCCGTGATGGTCATTGGCAACACGATCCTGGTCGCACGAGATTTGCAGCAGCCGTAAAGAGACCAGCTCCTGCTCAAGTGCCGGTGGACCGCACAACAGCTACTCGCCCCCCAATTTCATCGAATGCGTCTGTGGATAACTTGCATATCCGCACCTCGATTGTGGCGCCAAAGCCATCGCCTCGCATTAAGTTACGTCCCCCGGCATTATTACCCACTCTGCCCACTGGGGAATCGATCAATACTTTATATATGTCTTACCGATCCCGAGCACTGCAACTAGGTGCCGCTCGGAATGCGTGCTTATCCCGGGCCGCCGATGCATGGAGACGCGGCGACGGTGCCGCAGCCAAACGATTTAGCAGGGAGGGTCACGATCTCAATGCTAAAATGGGCAACGAGATGACGACAGCAGCTAGTAAACTCGTCAGAGAACGTGCAAAAGTTGCCGAACAAGCTGTGAAGGGCCGAGATCTTAGCTGGTCTGATGATGCCGGAGATCGAACTGCCCGTGGCCGAACCTGCGGAGGAGGTTTGGGAGTATGTCTAGGCATAGCCAGTACCACCACAGGCGGTGATTCGAAATTAACGTCAGAAGAGAGAACTGAATCTATGCTTGATCTTCACGGTCTACATTCGAATGAGGCAACAGATGTTCTCGAAGAATTTTTGCTTGCTGTGAGTACTTCATGCAACAGTCAGATGATCGTTTGATTAATCTTAATTTCAGCTCGAGCGGGAACATTTCCTTGGTCTCGGTAGGTGTTCTCTTGTGGAGCTGGCACCTATACTCATTTCTGTGTTTCAGCTTTCCTTATTGTCGGAGAAGAAAAGCACACTGGAACACAGGACGCAGCACGTGGTGCCTCGCGGGCTCGCCTCGCTTCGGGCGTGCGAGAATGGCTTCATCGGTGGGGCTATCCTTGGAGTGAGCGCGATGGCATCATATGTGTAGACGCTCTTACTCACGGATGAGGACGTTGGTGCAATATCCACACCACCGGAGCCGGGAGAATGACTCTTTTGCTAAGACTGGTATTTGCTTTGAAATGGGATGCTGTGAAGGATAATGTGTTATTAAGCAGATCTATTGAAGGTTGTATGATTGTACAAACAAGGGCAGAAAATGTGATTTCGTCTTTTCCCATCCATGTCATACCGTTCCGTTGGACACTTACAGGCGGACACTCAAAATTGCCTGAACCCCGTAACAATGCGCGCCTGTACGGACAGTTTATACTTATCCCTCACTTCTAATTGATCGAGTCCAGAGTCATCACGGCTGCCGAAGCCAAGAGTCCTTCTGCATTGATGGCGAGTATTTTCTACCGTTAACCAGACGACAAGAAGTGCTGAGCTTGAAGATGGTTACCAAGATGCTGGCTATGTGCACTGAGCAATCCTGCTTGTAGGAATCACTTTGTCTGCTAAGTGATATCACATCGGAATCCAGCACGCTTCCTTCCTGCCTGGTACAAATGTTGGAATCTCATCACATGGTTCGCGTAACAGTTTATCCGTTACACAGTCATACGCCAGAAACAATCATTTGCGGTGTAGAGTGCCACCAATTTAGGGATCCGTAGTCAGACAGCACGGTATTTGTTGAGCCTTCTCGGGACCCTAACAGCCCTTTGCACCTGGCTGATATCGTGACATATGAAGATCTGTAGGATGCACTGAAGTGGGATGGGTGAGTGTATTTTCTCCTGGTTTACAATACGCTCATCTTGCATGGCTCAGTCTCGTAGGAACGAGATCTTACGCATCTTCTGACTTTTCCTGAATTATTTTCACAGTTGTGCGTTTCTCTTATTCTGCGATAAAATTGTTTACTCCCCTTCTACTTTCCAACTTACTCGTGATTTTTTTATGAAGGAAGTGTGCTAACCTTTCCTTCTGGTGTATAACTACCAAGCTCCAATTCTTTAGGTCTTATTCTGCTATGGGTCAACCCGAATGTTCTAGTGGAGCCTATTGGAGCTTTGCATGTCACCCTGACATCACATTTAATTCCACCCTGCACGCCTCCAACCAATCACGCTCACTTTTGACGTGCGATCAGAACATTCCAAGCATTACATTTGAATAAGATTGTTACAATGCACATGATACTCATTGTGACACCCCCCGGCGTAGCACCAGATGAGCGACTCGCTTTGGAACATTCGTTTTTGTCGACCAAGCAATCACCGCACTGACGTCTTGTGCCAGATGCCAAGCTACTGGGGTTCGAGAGAATATTCGATTCGATTCGGCCGAGATGTTTATTGGGACACCCTGCCAAAGATCATCCAGAACGAGACCAGGTGCGATAGGGGTGCCCGTGTACGCACTCACTACGCTTCTTTTCTAAATTTCGAATAGAGCTCTGCACAAAATAATGGTATTGGAAACTCTGTTCATCTGGACACTGGATCGCAGCACCGGCATGGTCACTTAAGACGCAGTTCGGATCAACATATATAGACATCATCCGCTTATCTCCTTAATGATATCGAGGTCCTCGTCTTCATCATTACCTTTGTCTTCTTTTTTCCTTTTCAGCCTCGAATTAACATTCCTGAAGAATAACACTCTAGACCCCTTCATGATTCAATTCTAAGCGATCTTCCCTTCGAATGTGATTCCACTTTTTCGATATGCTTCAAGTTGATCATGATGGGAACGATTATGTGGTACTTACACTGCGCTTGATATTGACTTTGGAGCCCACATTCTTCGCCGCCCCCGACTAACTGAACTAAACCAAGCCATGAGCATGAAACCCAGAAGCGGTTGATTCGTTTACTGGTTGCCCGCCCAGTCAGATCGGTCGGCGATCGGTGGGTATGTATATGTACGTCAGCTACTAGGAGTCGAAGCGGTGCGGAGATACGCCGGGGAAGGCTATGGTCGACGATGTGACAAAGCGTGAATGGCTGTATATCCGAAACTCTCCAAGACTACGCAGCGGCGCCTCTAGCAGACTAGTCGACAAGCAGTACCGCTAGTGCAAAACATGACTACGACGATGCACCGTCATTTTCACAGCCACTGACCATAAAAGGCAGGCGTAGTGGAAAGGGCCATTCCTTGACAGTACGCGACGTGGCTGCCACCATTCAAGCTTAACTTCCTACTGGTCCACATGCCAACACAAGCCCTAGCTCACACTTTTTACGATTGACCACGAGCACGTTTCATTAGCCATGGCTACTCACGAACAAGAACACGACCCACCTCGCCCTTTTTCCATCGATCTCACCTTAGAACTCGAACGCCAGCTCGACAATGAATCGAACCCGAACTCACCTGTAGATGCCACAGGACGTCCTCATTCTCTGGATTCTCATGTCCTTGCTTCAATCGTCACTCAACTGAGACTGTCGCTCTCAGATGTTACAAGAGAGCGAGATGAACTCTCACACACAGTTGTTGAATTGCGGGCCCGCGAGGCAGGAAACTGCGGGCACACTTGAGCATATGACGGAAAAATGCTCGAAGATGCAGGAGGAACTGGATGATGCTCGTACAAAGATTAAGGATGACGAAGACACGATATCCATACTCAGGACGAAAGTCGAGGAAAGCAGGTTCGTTTCACACCCATATTATCTGCACAACGTGTCACTCACAGTACTTCTCAGGCGTGGCCTCATGCGCCTGCAGTCTGAAAATCGACGGGCGAGTCAAGTGCCCTCAGCTCTTGACTTGTCTAGAGCGGGCATACCTTCTTTCAATGGTCCGCCATCCTCTAAGCGCGCATCATTGATTGGATCAACGGCTGGGCGTAACAATGCCCATAAACGAATATCCTCAGTCTCCGACAACGCCTTTTCCATTGACAGCTCTCATTTGACATCCCCTATGTCCACTCCAACTCCCGCGACTTTCACCCTTCCCGATGTGCAGAAAAGCAGGTCCCAACAGCCTTCCCACACGAGGCGGATGTCTGGCATATTCGGTCGCGGGTCACCACCACAGTCTCTCTTCCCTTCGGAAGAGTCTGCTGAGTTGGAAATGCTACGCCGGGAGCTCAATGCTGTGAAGGCTGAACTTGACGACGTGAAGCATGAGCTGAGTGAAACAAACGAGGCTCGCGAAGCTTCAGACACTTGCATCAAAGCTCTGCGGGAATTCATTGAAGAGAACCAGGTTGGAGCTGTACCAAAGAGTCTTCCCCCTTTACCCGCAGAAGTGAAGAAAGCACCGCTACCACCACCGCCGGCTGCTACTGGGTGGGGATTCAAACTCTGGCGAGCAGATTCTTTGACGCAGAGTCCTGTGCTGGCTTCTTCATCCCCCGTCACACCCGCTGCCCATACCGCATCCCCATCCCTATCATCGCTGACGCCCCCTGTTCCTCTCTCCAAGAAATTGGGCGACTTCTTCGGTTCTCGTGCCACGGCAACTGCTGCTTCTCAAATGCCGCAACGCGTTGAACAAGAACCAATGTACAATGGCATGTCGGATACGTCATCCATTGAGGATTCTGTAGCCGAGCCCATTAGCCCCGCAAGCGAGCGCCCTCGGCCAGCTGTATACGTACGAGATACCACCAGCGTGATATCTGACTCATCACGAGATCTTGGTGTCAATCTTGAGGGAAAGCTACTTCCCCCATGTGCCGACGGAACCCTTACCCCTGTTGTTATTTGATTAATGTAGGCGTTTCGAGCTCTTCGTGAGAGCTCTATTAGACATTCGAAAATTCGTTTTCTGACCTCGAGCCTAGTTTGGACGGGAATTTCTCAAGATGGATACACTTCTCCGCAGATATAGCATATACCTCTGTAATGTACATAAGCACGAGAGCGGGGTGGGATATAGGGAGAACAGACTATTCCTCAAATCGGTCAGATGGTTATTGCCCTACTCAGACATGAATCACTTCGAAATCGTTCGATGTTCAGCCCAGACGACGCAGAATTGGTTGCATCGATGGAAGATGTAAAGATAGGATAAATCTTCGAAATTTTCTATTTTTGACCCTCGCTTCCATACCCCGTCATCTGACCGTGAAGTGGTGCCTTGCTAAGAAGATCCTCTTTCAAGTCACCCATCAGAAGCAAACACAACGTCCCCTGTCAATGGCAAGGTGCATACGCAGCCTTTGGGAATATGCTAGGCCCGATGTTGAGTGAAGCCAGGCGTTGATTGTTTTTGCGCAATGTCATGGAAATGAGCGGACGGTGCACGTCCGAACATGAATTGGTGGGGGATAAAGTTGCCAACGAAACGTTCAAGTCAGTGGCGTGCAACCTGAGAAGAATAAAGGAACGTGGTGTGTATATCACGCGTGTGTCCCGTCACCAACTTAATATTGGCAGCGGAACAGAGAGGGAAAGATGTCAACGTTTCGGCGTCAATATTAATGACTGCTGCCAGTGCAGAATAGGCTAATATGATGTGGGGTCGAGCTTCGCTGTCCCCCACTTTGATCAGCGAATAGGGTTCACTGATCACAAGCTAGGTTCTGGGTTGGGCGCCCCCCACGCCGCTAGCAGTAGAAGCAACATTCTCAATGGTCAACAAAGCGCATCAGAAAGTACGGATGCACTAGATACACGTCGGATAACTCGGAGGACAACTGTTTCAAATATTCACGGAATTGCAGTTGACAGCCTGAGGCAGCTCCTAGTGCGATTATGGCTAGTCCAGCCGGGTACTCATCGATGCATCGCAGAGTTTCAGCGACCCCTGGTCCGCAAATCGAAACATTGCCGATCTAAAGGCATGATCGCGAGAGCGATCAGCTGACCGTGACTCGGTACAGTGCCAGTCAAGGTGAAGCGCCTGCTGCGACCTGTCAGTAGGGTGTGGTAATTTTCCGTAACCGTCTGTCAGACCCACCAAGCACAGACTCCTGAACACCGGACAGGCGAACGCGGATATAGTGTCTCGGCTTTCAAAAACCATGAGTATTCCGTAGTATTCGTGCGTAAATCTACAGTGATCCATAGAGACCGGAGGCCAATTTCATGAGCTCGAAGTCTTTGAGAGGCCGTGACCGTGATTTGCAATGATTAACGTACTCGGTCCTTTCGAGATATAAGGCAAAGGGTAATCATTTCTTGCGACGTGGAGACCGAGATTTCCACGGTTGGAAATTCAACTTGAAAAGCGGCGAAAAAAGTGAGGCAGTACTAGTCTTGGGTGCGGATCTACTATTATCTTTCCATCACAGCCTAGCACGAGAACTATCAAACAATGGAAGAATACTCATTAGGTGGGTTTAGTTCGAGAATCGCGGATGAACGATGGACTTGGACGAAATACATGTCCTATCCACTCATGACGCGTGCAAGTTCCCATGCGCATTCGATTGTCACGGACTCCTACGAAGTCGTCCTAGAGTTATCACAATCCCACATCGATAGGACCATACGTCGATATCTCACTATAGACAACCACTAAGTTGTGGCTGCGTAGGTCTTGTCATTCCCTCGAGGCACAAGGTAAAAACCTGGTGGGCAAAATAGACGTGAGTTGATTGCATTTCCGAAATGGTGGAAAGAGATGTATACTAAGCTCAATCGCGATTGTCGATAGTACAAATGTAGGAAGCGATTGGCGGATATTGTGAGATAATTTGTTGGCACTTTTCTGACATTGCTTCACTGGCTTCCAAGATCTAGAACGAATCCCGTGGCTCAAAAAAAGGTTTATAGGATCTCCATTCCGGTTAGATCGTCTTCTTGAATTTTAAGATGTCTCTGGATACGTTAGTCCCGGGAGGTGGCCAATGTCAAGAATGTCGTCCTATGAACTCGCTTTTAGCATTTGTGTAGTTTCATCTAGGCACGCACTCACTCCTTCAAGTACGCAAAATGTGTGTGCGGGACCTCTAGAACTATTGATAGTGATCGGTGTGAGTAAGTAAAAGGGCGCGGTGTTCCCATTGACAGGAGTGTTGATAATGGCAAGCAAGACCTGCATTGGCGTTGTTTACCGGTGCCGCAAGGGGATGTCCTTCTCATCTCGTCATTGCTGACATTGGTCCTCCGTGCTTCTTTTCGGACGCTATCAACGGTGTCCACAGCACTAGTGCGTGGTGCACTCCACATACGAATTTTGGGCATCGCATTGAGGAGAAATACTCGGCGTATAACGCTCGTGTATTTTTTAGAAAGGCCTGGCCTGTCTGGCTAAGCGAGAGATGTTGATGATGACACGTCATGGGTCCTATCAGCCGGAAGAAGTGATTGGAATTGAACATGGGGTAAGTAGTAGAATCATGTAACACATGGTGCGTACCTGGGGAAGGCTGTCCAAGGGTCCAGACTGCTGCGACAAAACTGTGGACACAAGATGTTCTGCGCTGTGCCTTCGAGTCATAGAACGAGCACTTACCACAAGATCCGATTACGCTGGGAACTCACGGAACGGCGGAAGAAAAGGTTTATCCGCAATGAATTGAAGACTTGTGAATGGCAGTAGAGTGTATGAAGGCCTCGTGTTTTTTTAAATCTTGATAGAAGGGTGTATTTTGGAAGTGAAATTACTATGTGAGCAAGCTGGGGGGGTCACACTCACTCCGCGTACAGCTTGTGAGGTCAGCGACATCCGTGCCGAGGGGCAGGGGTGATAATCCGTTTAATCCACATTTGGAAGTCAAAGTACATACACACCATATGTAATAATCAACGCGGAATTTAGTTGGTCATAGTTCACATAGGCTCAATTGAAAACCATCACAATGTGATAATTATGGCCATCTGTCTTCTTCTCTCCTGCCATCAGTCTACATAGCCCTTTGGGCCTCCACATGCTATCATCCCCAGTTTCTCCAAATCGCATGGAGCAAAATCTCTTTGCTGATGCAGCCAAGAAACGTAGAAAAGGTGCTACTCGTCTTTCCTGTGCAGAATGTAGACGGTAAGCCGCATAAGCGCATCTATATTACTTACTTTAATGATCCATCGTTTTTATTTTACAGTCTGAAGTTGCGTTGTGATAGAGCAATTCCTTGTGGCTCATGTGTGAAACGTGGCTGTGGTGCTATCTGTCCAGATGGTACGCTTCCAGCTCAATTCAATGCCAGCCAACAGGCTGATTATCAATGTCATAGGTTCTTTGACAACTGGCCAGGGGAACAGGTGAGTGGTACCTGTAGTGCTAAGCTGAGTACTGTCTGATTATGTCTTCCAATCAAGATTCGTTTTGGCATCAACTCAAGAGCTTCACGAGAAGATATCAGAACTCTGTCAACGTGTCCGAGATTTAGAAGATGCTCTTCGGCATTCACACTCTCTAATGTCTACAGAAAAGCACCCTCTATTGACTGACGACTTATTGCAAATCAAATCACCTTTGCAGCGTGAGCCCCCAAGTAACAGAAATATACCTCGATCCGAAGCCAAGGAAGAAGAGCAGAACGGCGAGGTTGTTGACGCTTTTGGCTCCTTATCGATTAATGCTTCTGGGGGTGCGAAATACTTTGGCTCCATCGCGAACTCCTGGGTACGTGGACACTCATTCAACGAGGTTGTTGCTATGTCTGACTATGAGTACTCCAGTATTTCCTACAGGTCTGTCTAAGTAGGTTAAATTTGTCCCTAATTATTTTCTAAATATCTGCAGAATGAAGCAAACGAAGATTTCGAGACGGACAGCGATCGTCTTGCTGCACTTCAAACCGTCCTTCCCGCCGACATTCTCGCGCGAAGTGGGGCATTCCCAATTCTGCCCTCGTCACACGCATCCATTCATGTTGAGAATGTGCGACTAAGAACTCTCTTCTGGTACCTTCCGGAGCACGCTAAAGCTCAAGAGATATGCAGACCTACTATCGTCTAGGTGCATGGATGTCTGTCCGCTTTCTTCTATCGTAGTGAAAATTCTGATTTCCCCCCGAAAGGTACAATCCCATAAGCCAGCAGTACTTCTACGAAGATATATATCCCCAATTTTACACACCCAGTGCCGGTCCGCCTTCCGATGATCCTCTTCTTTCACACAAATTGTCTCTCGTATTCATGGTTCTCGCGATTGGCACCCTCATGGATGTACACCAACCAGCCTACAATGTCGAAGCCGAGAAATATCACCAATTAGCTCGGGCTGCGCTATTCCAGAGCTCACTGTTTGAAGATCCGACTATCAATGCCGTTCAAGCCCTTGTAAGCATACCATGACGAATTTCTGATATCATTCTCACACCTGATTTCAGTTTCTCATGACTTTTTACCTTTTCATGTCGGACCGACATGGTTCCAATTCTGGTGCACGATGGGCAATTATGGGCATAGCTATCAAAGTGGCGCAAAGTGTAAGCCGTACATAGCCAAGGGCCCTGGTTTATTATGCTCACCTCGTCACTTGGCAGATTGGCCTGCGTACGTAATGCTATCGCACCCCAATGCAGTTTGAGATACTAATGCCACACTCTCATCCATTAGACAGAGATCCCAGTCGGTGGGGAGTGGATCAAAAGGAGACTCTGCGTCGCAGGGAGCTCTTCTGGGAACTATATACATATGACTCGTGGCAGGTACGCCCCATTTGGCATTGTGAGTGCTGTTGATTACTTATTTGGAGAACGGTGTTCGTAGTGTCTTACATTCGGTCGACCGGTATCATTCTACATGGCCCATATGGATTGCAAATTGCCATACTCAACAGATGCTTCAGACGAAAACATTTGTAAGCTCTTACTC